GTCTGGAGTTTTAAGTTTCCAAACGATAAGAGACCCGTTCGAGTTATTTATTATAATGAAAAAAAAGGGTTCGCTATGCGTTGGCGCGTCGCGTCGCATGAAAAAGGGGACCGTGGAGTCTCCAGGACGTAACAGTCGCCAAACCATATCCTAATGAGGACACAGATGGATATGGATTTGGTCTACTAATTTCGCCGGCGATTGGCGACAAAACTGCGACATTTCGACCTGACCAAATTGTTTGGTGAGTATATATATACACGTACAGTTTNCGCTCAACATCCTGGGAACGACTCGTAAGGCTTTATATATTTCTTGGTTTTAATTTCAACGAGCCTTAAGTCATAATTGTTACAATAAGTTATATCTAAACAACGTAAATTATATGTATGACATTTAAAAACCTTTAAGTTTTATTATTTATTCATAAAACTAACATCCAATAATTATTTCAAGAATCTCCAAAAAATGTTTACTGCATATCCATGGATTACCACAAAATGGAATATTATTATTAGACTTCTTATGGATATTTAAAAAGTGAACTCTAGATATTTAATGGATATCCATAAGAAGTAACATGGACGTCCATTAGATGTTTTTAATTTTTATCATGGATGTCTAATAGAAGTCCATTGGAGTGTTCTGTTCTGTGTGGGCTTGTTCTATCTACCGGGTGAATCACGTGAACACCGTGTGCACGAACTACTTTATTGTAGCAAAGTTTATTACAGTAGAGAATATCAGGAGAGATTAAGAAAGTACTAGATACCGACTATAGAGAACTGTAAACCGACGTTTCTCTTTTCACGTTCTGAGTCGTATTTACTGCATCAAATCGAAAACGCTTCTCTAGAAAGAAGTAAATTGTGCTAAGACAGTGCGCTAGCTCTTTGAAATGTCAAACTTCAACAAAAAGTTTTTCTTATACAGTTTCCTTCAATAACCGCACCATATATTTATGTATGTAGAATTCTTTGTAAGCTTATGTAGATATTTACACTGTGTTAGGGCACTAAGTACGACAAAAAAGTCTAATGAAACATTCAGATTATGGTTTGACTATCTAATTGATGAGAACAACGTCATAGTGTGATGATGTATATCTGATACCATATACTATCATCATGAATAAAAAACAAGTTTAAAAAAGCATTATATATCTATTTTCAGGAGCTTTATATAGTTTTGTATATTTATTTGCTTCTGTAGAANCGTTTTTAATGTTGTGCAGTAGATAGATAGATAGATAGATAACAGAAAGCGGGGGGCTTGTGAGACCCTATTGTCACCTAGATCTATAAGATCCTCTGCGACTCCCGCTAGTTGTTTATCGACCAAGCTGCTAAAACCCGGCATTTGCTGCCAGGCACACAGATGGCCGATTTTAAGTATTTTTAGGTCCTCGGGCTCCACAAACATGGAGCCCAAGAATCTGAATCTCTTGAGTGCTAGAGACGGGCAGCGACACAATATGTGCACGCTATCCTCCCTTTCTTCGCCACAAAATTTACAACTACTCTCCTCAACTAGACCTAAGTTAGAAAAGATGTGCCGTGAAGGCCCAATGCCCTGTGAGAAGACCGATACACAGTCTTTGTCTGTACTTACTCATTGCCAGTAGTTTCTTTGTTCTACCTGGCAATGGCTGAGTCATCAGGGCCTTAGCTTGGCGGCAGCTTTTCAGTATCTCCCAAGAGATCCTGTGTTCTCTTTTCAGCCAGTCCTTGATATGGTTTTTCCCTGTTGCAAAGGGAACTCCAACTATCTGGCAGATTGGTTCCTCTAAAGTACCCAGTTTTGCCAGACTATCAGCCACTTCATTGTCTTGGATACCTTGGTGGCCAGGCACCCAGACAAGCGTGATGTTATTTCGCTCGCTCAATCTGTTTAGAGTTTGCATACAGTCCCAAATCATTGAAGATTCAGTGGTGGTTTTGGCAAGAGCTTCTATGGCTGCTTTGCTATCCGTATAGATATTTATCCTCCTAGTTTTTGTCTCTCTTGAGAGTAGGAGTCTTCCACATTTCAGAATGGCCAGAGTTTCTGCTTGAAAGACCGTGGTTAGTTTACTCAGAGAGAAAAACTCTCTATGATTTGATCCTGGACAGTAGATGCCTGCTCCATAGCAACCGTTTGCTCCAGATCCATCAGTGAACCATGCATGAATCCCCGGCTGGATCTGAAGATTTCTGTTTTTCCAGTCTGCCCTGGTGGTCAAGTTTATGGAGAACGTCTTGTCCACCTGGCGTATTCTGGATATTCTGTCTTGCTTTAAGGTAAAGGGAGGTTTATGAAGAAACTCGAGCCTGGTATGACTTACTTCGAAATCTCTCCACTCCTCCTGACACCTTAGTCTATATGCTGTGAGTTTGGCAGCGCTGATGATAGTCAATCTTAGAGGTGGAATGCAAAGCGCCACTTCCAGCGCTTCTGTTGGTGTCGTTCTCATAGTCCCTACCGCAGCCCTCAAGTAATTATTGTGTAGGCTTTTTAGTAGGTTCTTTGACTCCATCTTTTCCACTCTGGGCCACCAAACAACAGCAGCATATGTTAACCTCGGTACAAGTACCGCTTTGTATATCCATAAGGTAGTAGTTATATTAATACCCCAGGATTTTCCCATTGCTCTTCTACACGCCCAATATGAGGCGTAGAATTTGGATCTCTTTATATCGAGATGTGTTTTCCAATTCAGTTTGGTGTCTAAATGGACTCCCAAATATTTTACTGACTGGACGTATTCTATATCTTCTCGCCAGAGTCTAAGCGGCTCAATGGCTTCAGATTTGTATTTCCTGATGAAAATCATAGCCTTGGTCTTTGATGGATTAGCCTTAAGTCCTTTTGATTGACACCAGTCTTGCGTGATCTTAAAGGCTTTTCCCATAGTCTCCTTAAGTATTGAAAGAAAGATGCCCCGCACTATAATGGCTACATCAGCGTAGCCAAAGGCGAGGAAACCTGTCTTCTGTAATTTATATAAAAGTTCGTCTACGACCAAGCACCACAGCAGGGGGGATAAAATTTTTCCCTGCGGGCATCCTTTGGCGAAAAAACCATGCATGTTTGAGTTCTTATGATTGACAATCAGGGTTCTTCCTGTTAGCATGCTTTGTATCTAGTCTGCTAGTGTGGCTGGAATGTCGTGTCTGGTCATTGTCTCCCCAATTACATCATATGAGGTGCTATCAAAAGCTTTCTCAATGTCAAGAAAGACGCCCAGGGCATATTCTTTTGCCTCCAATTGCTTCTCGACCCCGCTAATAAGGCAGTATCCGTGGATCTGCCCTCCCTGTAAGCATATTGGGAAGAGGCCAGTGGATATGTAAGCAAAGATCTGTTCTTCAAGAATCCGTTGATCAGCCTCTCCAACGTTTTAAGTACAAAGGAGATAAGGCTGATCGGTCTGAAATCCTTGGCTGAAATATATCCATTTCTGCCAGGCTTGGTGATAAAGACCACTCTTGTACCACTTAAGACCACTCTTGTACTCCAGGCCTGAGGAACATGTCTTAGGGCTATACTTGCCCTAAAGATTTTAGTAAGTGGACCGACTAGTACCTCCAGTCCTTCCTGAAGAAGGACGGGATAGATACCGTCTGGTCCAGGTGCTTTATATGAGTTGAAGGTCTTAATAGTCCATTCAACTCCCTTTAGATGGACAATCTCAGCTGCCAGACGCCACTCCCTGGGTTTATATATTCTAGGCTTCGGCCGGCGAGGTTGTATGTTATTGTCAAAACCTGGGAAGTGAACTTCCATTAAATGTTTTAATGTGTCCGACGCTTTCTCAATAACATTCCCCGTTGGAAGCTTAAGACAGTTGGGGACGGTGATCTAAGCTGAGAATTCTGTGAAGCCTGGATGCCTCTGGGGCACTTTCAATGTTTTCACAGAAGTGTTTCCAGCTTTTGTGTTTTGCTTTCTTGATTTCCTTGCTGTACTCTCGTTGGGAGCTTCTGAAAGCCTCCCAGTGTGCTGCAAGTCTGGTTCTTTTTGCCTTACTGAATTTCCTCCTCGTTTCCAACCTGAGTTTTTCAAGCTCTTTGTTCCACCAGTCGATCTTAGTCACCGAGCTCCTTGGTTTTGGTGGGCAGTTTAACTCGTAGGCATTTGCAATGGCGTTCTTTAAGAAGTCCGCCGCATTTTCCAGATTATTTTTAGTCCTGAAACTGGTTGGGGCCTCAACAAGCTGCGCCTTAAGATCAGTCCTAAAGCCCTCCCAGTTGGTTTTTCGTGGGTTACGAACCCAGCTGATTTGCGGTAGTTGCTGAAGAGTTAGGCGTATTTGTCTGTGATCAGAGCCAGAGGGCTCATCCGAGACCCTCCAGTCGTTTACCAGACCCGCCACCTTCTCCGTACAAACCGTGATATCAATGACTTCCTGTCTTTTGGAGTCCAGGAATGTCGGTTTGTTTCCTCTGTTAAGAATGGTTAGCCCTGTGCTCACTAAGAAGCCATGCAGACTCTCTTTCCGCGGGTTGATGTTTGCACTTCTTCATCCTACATGATGGGAGTTTGCATCACAACCCAGCAGGAGTTCAAGCCTCCCGGCCTTTGCATAGGCTACCAGGGCTTTTACCTCTTTCGGTGGTGGATCGTCCATGGAGTCGTAGGGCATATAGACTGACCCTATGAGTATCTCTATGTCTTTTTCCTCGGCCAGCTTTACTCTCACCTTGATGACTGTGAGGTCCTCGCTGCTGAACTGTGGCAGAAAGATATCATTTAGTTCTTTAACCACTATGCAAGATCTTACTCTTTTTTCCGAGTGTGCTTTGTATAAACAGCCACACCCACTCAGACCTCTTATTGCACCGTTTACAATCCAAGGTTCTTGGATTAGTGCAATACTTGTATGCATCACAGGCATGCTCCTGGCTAAGATAGCCGAGGCGCTTTTGCTGTGATGCAAATTAATTTGGGTCATTTGGATGCCGGGAGGAGCCATTTTTAGGCAGTCTCGACATTGTTACGTCTTGGCCCATGGATACGGTCGGGCTATGGTGGTACGGAACAGCTAGACGTTTTATTTTCGATGCTCGACACAGAAGATGCGGAAATCTATCTGTGTGCGAGCCGAGCGAGTTATGTATACTCACGGACGGGTCAACGGCGCGTGCCGATATTACTCCGTCCTTTGTATTCTCACTCAGCGGTCTCTTTTTAAAGTCTGGAGCGGTCGCTCCAAGGACTAGGGACGAGACCGTGCGATCGCAGGGATGGGAAAATGTACGAGGTTAAGCCTTAATTAATCAATCAGTCATAATTTATTCCTCCCTTTTTTTTATGTTAAAATGTTTGTTTTATTCATCACTTCCATGTACAATAATTGTCGAACTAGTGTTTTGTGTTTTTTTTTT